AAGGATCTTAAGACACTGAGAGGGAAGACAAATCTCAAAGTGAATTAATGGAGACACTGGAGACCGAGATCCCATGAGCAGTTCATCTTTGCACCCAGCAATACCCAACAACTGGATCATCTAACACAACCAACTATGTCATAGTCCATACCTCTGTATGCAAATTGATGTGAAGGCCGTTCCATCCCTGTGTCTCAGATATAAAGCTATATACCTCACCTAGCAAACAATAGAGGTGAAATTTTTAATTGTCTTGGGGTTATCTCTCATTTCTCAAATTCAGCAAAATTCTGACACAGAAAGAAAAAATTTAAAATTCAACAGTACCAAAATAAAAATTCATTTGATCTTCCAAGAGTACTGTTAACTGACTGACAAAGACAGGTGATAGGAAAAGGTCTAGATTAGCAAAATGTAAATATAACAAAAGATTTTCACTGAGACTATATAGGATGACAATGTCATAAGAAAAACAACTCAATTATAATTTAACCAAAGTTTGAATAGATGGTTTATCATAGAAAACATATAAAGTATATATAGTTCTTTTAGTTTATTTACCTTGAAAGGAAAGCTAATTAAGACCTCGGTGAACATTACTGCATTCCTATCTGAGTTGCCCAGATGTGAAGACTGACCTCATCAGTTGCCAGGAAACACATGGAGAAGACAGAACTATAATGCAGTGCTGATTGGAGTGTCAATTGGTGCAGTCATCGTGGAGAAACTAAAAATTTCCTCAAAAGAGAAACATGGTCATAAACAAAATTTATAAAAAAGGTATTAATGAACAGAGATGCTTGGATACATCTCTAATGCTTCATAATAGGTTGAAGAAGCCTATGAATTGTACGATTTCATCTAAATTGGTCCTTAGGAAGGAGGACAGTAGAGACAATGAGCAAATCTGGCCTGTGAGATAAGAATCTCATGGAGGACATTTTGACCATAGCCCGTGTGACCAACCAGTGAAGTAGTGATTATACAACATACACATCTGAGACATCTACAACTGTGCTTCCCTAAGGAATATGTGAAATATTTAGACTCAACATCTGCTAGGGGTTCTTACTCTGGCTATTTATCCAATATAAAGGAACAGCACTGCTCATCTACTGAATGATGTATAGAACAATGGTATAGAAACTATGTTTGTGACTAAATGCTATTGGCATCCTCATAAACACAAGACTAGATAAACCTTGGTATGTGGATAAATAGAAAAATTCCAAAGCAATAAAAAGAAATGGCATACAAATGCAGAAAAGAATATAAATCAAGGTTATTCGTGGTAGGTATAGACAATGCCAGAAAAATCACACATCCTGGAAAATAAGTACACAGTGGAGAAGGGCAATCAGGAGCCATCACGCAATGATTGACAGGAACTTTGCTTTGATAGTGACAGTGGTACCTACATCAACCTGAAATTTACACTTTTAAAATATGTGAAGTGTCTGGTAAAGTAACTGTAGTTCTTTTACAGAAAACACATTAAATCCAGCATTGTAAATATTACACAGGGCTTAATTCAGCTTGTCCTTTCTTTCACAGAACTATGAAGGTAGAAATGTAGACCCTTTTTGCATATATGGTTTTCACATGCATGGGTTCTGTTGACCACGATAGAATTACATTCTGAGATTCACTACAATACTATGTTCATAGTTTAAATCATTTGGGATAGAGTTTTCAAGTTGGCATTCAAATTTGGGCAATCAAAGTTGTTTCTATGCAAGAGCTCCAGATAAGTATAGAAATTTGTATATGATGGATACATAAACATCATATTTTAGTCCTCCTTAGTGAAGCATCATATTTTTAAGAAATATAGAATATTAAAGTGCCCTAGCATTTACTCCAGATATATTTTTTAGAACTCTAGCCACACATTTGTTCTGTTAGTGTGCTGTAATCATTCTACAAATCTACCTTCTACAACAGGCCAGTAAACCCAGCTTTCTAGTTCATTATGTGGAACTTTATGACCTGTTGGAAAGGAGTCTGGGGTCAAGAAACAGATACGGTAGACTCAGGCTTCATTCATCTACCAGCTGTGAGAGTTTAAGTTGTCCTCCCCCTTAATCTCTCTGAGCATTTCATTCTCCATAGATCCAATAATAACATCTTCCCCCCATAGGGCCATTTGGCACTTAGATGAAGAAGAGATTTATAAATAAAAAGATTACAATGTTTCCCCCACAGTAAACCCAGAGTTATCAGTTAATACATGTACCTCTCAGAGAGCTAAACCCCTTTTCCCAGATCAGCTGAGTTTCATAATTCCTTTATGTTCTTGGCTAACCTTCCACTATATCCCCTCTGTATTCTGCTCTGAAGAGATGGCTGGCGAGGCCATCAGAGCCAACTCTGAATTATACTGTTCTTTAAATAAGTTTCAATGGAAATATATAAAAAATATGAGAGAATCAAAAATTCTCCATTTGCTATGACTTAAGTAATGATGACAGGAATAAAGTTGTTTTTATGTCTATATTCCCTTCTATTTCTTCTATCTTATTACCATGAGAAGGGCTTCAAACATAGCTTGTGAATCCACAGATATCTATTACAAATGTCCATAAAATAACTGCTTAAAAGTCTGCTACCCATCATTATTTACTATAGATTTCTTGCAAACATACTTACACTTTCCAGTTTTTATTTTCAACTTTTTTTATGTACACCAGGCAGGGTAGAGAGCTCCAAATCATGTTTATATGTTCTAAGTAATATCTCTATTGAACCATTTTAAATTTATACTGATTTTCCGTCAACTGTTTTTATTCTTAGTTGTGATTATTGGAAACGTAAGTTGAAGTTTGTTGAGATTCTCCACAGGACACATTGTGCTCTCTGTGGCGTGATTCTACCTGGCTGCCTCTTAGATTTACTGCAAACAAATGATGTTTTTGTTGTTGTTGTTGTTCCCGCCGAAGCCATTTTATGGATGACGTGTAATCTATTTTTGTGTGGTCATCCCAGAACACACATGTAAATAAATATACGTGGCACACAGATCAATACAAACACATAGAAAGTGTTTCTTTGCAGTATTGAAGGCCAAGATCAATATTCCTATCTTTGGCTTCTGATGTAGACCCCATCCTGTAAATGTGATGGGGTATCCTCTTGTCATTTATGTTATTATTAGGCTTTTCTTTGTCACCAGCTTGAATAATGTCATCAAAAAGAAATAAATGTGTGCTCTCAGTTCTTTGGCTTCCCAGTATAGCTGACCATCTTTAAAAATGCTGATACGTTATCTGATTTTCCACTCTTCAGATGGTGCCAACCACCTTCCATAAGGATCTTTAGAACACTATTGTCTTTAATATTATGAAATTAGAAACTTAAACATATTGGGTCATATTTGTCAGCAAGCAAGTTCATATGTAGATTGACATTTTTGATGTATCTTTAAATCCAATCTGTTTTATCATTACGTAGAACTTATTTTTGGGCCAAAAAAAACCCCATTAATCTTCAATCAAGAGTGACTTCTATATTACTCTGTCATTTAATGTTTCTCTCTCTCTCTCTCTCTCTCTCTCTCTCTCTCTCTCTCTCTCTTTCTTTCTCTCTCTCATAATCATCAATTTTTAATATTATGATCTTTCCATTTCAATGTACTATATATTCCTTAGTAGTGGGCCAGTTTTCTAAGTTCAATTCTACTTCTCTAAAGATAAGCTACATTGTGAGTTAAAGATTACATGTGTGTGTAAATATGTATGTATGTTAATACGTATGGATGGGTATAGCATTTATTCAAAGATATAATGCCATTTAACTAGGCAGATAACTTATTATAGTGTTTAGATGGTTATTTATCACAACCATGGCACTCCTATGATGTTGGGCTGAAGATGCAGGCAGTGGCAGAGTTCTGAGCAGGAGGAAGATCCCAGGGTCCATCCCTGGTGCTGTTACAAAGAAGGTAACGTAGGCTTTGGGACAGGTCAATTGTGCCAAGTCCTTCACAGGTTTTGCAATACCCTTTATTTATACCACATGTATCCAAACTGAGAGATAGAGTCTCAGTACAACCGAATCTGTGTATTCTGTGTCCAGAGGAATCTATCTATAAATATGACCAAATCACTGTATTTTCCTTCTGTGTGTTCTCTATAAACTCTCCCACAGCCCATTTCAACTCATTGCTGTCAATTTTATCTATAAATAAATCTCGCTATAGCATCAAGTATAATTTCTTACCATTGCTGAGATAAGTAAATATAAATTTCTCCTTGGTATGGATATTTAATCTCTCCAACTTCCATGTTCCCATTACAAGTATAAATTATTGCCTGGGTCACTGGTGGTTACTGACACGCTTAATTATTAATGTAATATGATTTGACTTTTATATCTGACAACTCTTACCTGACATTTCTTTCCTTGGGAATAAGAATATTCTAACACACAGGGAAAGATGATACGAGCAAAGTTTAAAATTTTTCTAGAAGTATCTCAATGGATTAAAATGCCTGCATTTAAGAAATATCAACACACACCTAAAAAACAACCTCAGTTAAAATTTCAGTAGTTGGCATACTTAGCTGAATACTGATCTTAAAAATATATATATATATTTCATGTGGTAGTTCCTAGGTATCTTGGTATTTGGTTTAAATTTCTAGTCTTCATGTGATATAAGCTATGTCAGAAAACATGAAGGGAATAATTAATAATCCAAAATTTGCTTTCCCTTTCCTTCGTGTCTCTTTTCATATGATGAATTTCCAAACTAATTCAAAAGCTCTCTTAATAAAAAGAAATTCAGAAAACCATCCAAACAAATATCTTCCCTCCTCTAACCCATAAAGTAATTAACTATATATCACATTGGTATCTGCTATCCGTACACTGGATAATTTATAAACTTAATTTACTAATGAGATTGTATCCGTGCTGCTCAGTTAATGAAGGAAAGAGATGAATCAGGTCAGCAAGTTTCTGTTTGTTGTCAGTTTTGAACTGAGTCTCTTGTCTCACAGGCACCCCTGAGGATTACCCCCGCTTCTTCCACATGCATCCCAGGACTGCAGAACTTACTCTCCTGGAGCCAGTAAACAGAGACTTCCATCAAAAATTTGATTTGGTTATTAAGGTAAATTAAACTAAAATCTTACTTCCTTGTATTTATGAAATGCTAACCAAAGGAACATTAGGTGGCTACTGTAGACCTCTCATGTTTTAATAATAAGAATAAATATAAACCATAATAACTAATTTTTATCTATAAATGTTGAATTTTTTCTCTTTTAAATATTTATAATAATATTCAATATATGTGTATGGGTATGTATGTGTGTGTGTGCATACATGCTTGCATGCACATATATGCATTGGTCAGAGGTACATAGTTTAAATAATAAATCATACTTTATATTTTAACATATTGTATAAAATAACTGCTGGACATGAAAGATAAACAATGACAACATTAAAATATGATATGCCTTATATATTATTTGCCTTAATATATGATTTTTTGGTGCTGTTACTTTTTCTAGCATAAACATTGAAAATTTTTGCTCTTCTTGGAATTTTTAAAATGTATGCCTTGCTATTTTCTTTATATTGAAAGATGAATCTAGAACTGAAAGGAAAATTCAAGTTCGGGTGATCTACTTGACATTAAAGGAATATTATATTTTTAAATGTAATATTAATTAATTATTATTTAATAATAATACTGATTATGTTATGATGAAACCACAGAAGAAGAACTGTGGAAATGAGTTAACCCTGATGGACACCATTAGAACATTGAGATTTAAGATTTTATTTTGAAAGAACAAGAATTTGCTAAGTTTAAATAAATACTGAATGAGGATAATTTTGAGTAAAAGATAGGACAACAATAAACCCTGAATAAATCTCACACATATTACATAGTATTTTCACACACAGATACACACATGCATGCCCCATAATTAGGTATAACAGAAGCCCACTGATACCTTCTTTTTAAAAAATAACTGAAAATACTAGTATGGCATTGGCTCAATGGTAGAACATTTGCCAGGCAGCCATGAAGCCCTTGCTCCAATCCCCAGAGCCACATAAATAAATTACCTAATTAAATAAAAAATTTTAAATACAAAGGAAATGGGGAAAGGAGGCTTGCTGAACAGACGCTCTGGGAATGTTGGTTTTGTAGCTTACCCTTGGCTGGGCACCACCCCCTAGCTCTCTTTTTCCACCCCTGTATGTGGATATGAAGTTCAGGGTCTGTGACAGTCATAGAGATACACAGCTAATACTGAGCAAAAGAGAAACTGGATTTGGTTTTATTTCATCCAAACTCGGGTTCTTTTCACTGCACAGACTAGGTAGTTGCTTAGGGATGTTTATCTGAATTAAATATATGTAAGTCCAACTTCCACTTCTATACTAAAGACATTTATGTTTAGTTCATAGTACATACTAGCCTCTTGCCTAGCATTATAATATGTGTAACTGATAACGTCTTTATTTAGTAATGCTTTGTCCTTGGAGACCTAACAGTGGTGAAATAGATAAGTCTCCATCACTCTAGATCTTTATCTGCTGAGAGAGAGCAGATAAAAGAAGACCTAAAGAATTACCAAAAGAGAGTATTTCAATTATCTGAAGTTTCAAAGTTGTTTTGTTTTCTTCTGAAGATTACCCCAAGCTTAGTGTCGCTGGATCAAGAGATATGTTTTTAGCCAATGAATGAAAACAGATGTGTTTTTGACAACAACAATTAGGAACATAATGTAGTTCACTGCAAGCAGTCAACAGAAAAGACAGGTAGAGAGCCTTCTGGATCCACAGAGGGGATACAGTCTCATTGAATGTCCCTCATCAAAAGCACACTATTGTCTCCCTTTGTCAAAGCACTCACATAGAGGGGGCTCATTTGACATTGATTTATAATTATTGTGGGACAGCATAGACGTTAGGAAGTAGCTATCCACTTCCTATGTCCATCTCCCTGGGCCCCATGATGCTTATCTTTGCAGGAATCTTGAAAGCTGTCTAAGTATTGTTTCCAGATTGCTTCATTTTAAACATGAAATCTATTTCCTTTGCCATGCACAGCAGTCGTCCCAAGACGTCCGAGGGCAGTGTAACTCAGTCCATTGATTACAGGGGGGAAATAATCAATTAGAAATGTGAACAGATAATTGTTTATGTTCTAGTAACTCTTTATACTATCGATACAAGTTTTTACAGACATTGCTGGATCCAAATTGCCATAACCCAAAGGTGTCGTGATGGAACCATGAGAAAAAATTATCAATTGTAAAAACAATAATGGGTGAAAATAGTGGGTGCAAACCCTGGCACTCTTTGAAATGTTTCCTCAGCAGTAAATATTTCATTTTCTTTATTTTTTTCCTATGTGAGTGTTTTTCTTTTCATTGACTGTAGAAGTTTGTCTGTTGTGGTTGGAATTGATCCAAATCTCTGATTAGGAAGCTGAGAAAAGTATAAAAGGACCATGTCTGCCTAAGGACTGAAGAGGAATTCTGCCTTTAAGAGGGACATGGCACACTAACAAATGTTTTGTGTCACGAACCAGAGATTTCTCAACTCTATTTCTTGCTTCTTCTGCCAGTGGTTTATTCTGCTGACAAAAACTGTAAAAGTGAAGCCTTGAAGACGAAGTTGGGCAGTTAGAAACTTCAGCCTTCCTAGTAAACAACCAAGCACATGCAACAAAAAAAGAGAAAAGGATACCCTGCTTCAAAACAGGTTTCCAGGCTTTAGTTAGCTGCTCTCATCTGAGGATATTGAAAAGGTGGTATACATTGAGGATGGGAATCAGTCATTGGCTTTGTCCTAGAGTAATTCCATTTATGGACCATGGTCTTTGAGTCATTATCCATGACATACACCCATTATTAATGGCATCCCAGTTTGGGTTATGAATGATCTGATCAGTCCACATGATCCTCCTGAAAGCAACGGCCACTAACTTCCTGTGAGACAGAAATACAAAAACATATTTCAGATGTCAGATGACCACAGGCTTAGCGCATGCGACGAGAATCTTTAACAAGTCACAGAAACTTCCCTGTCGTTAGTATAGCATACTTATAGTAGTATTTATACGCTAGGCATCCAGTACAAAGCAAAATCTTGAATTATTAAAAGAGATCAAATGAATAAATTATTAGCAATTCATTGTTGTTTCTTGGCTCCTTAAAGAATAATTGCATTTCATCTAAATCCTTTTGATTAAAAGCTTTTATTAAGCGAGGGCCACACTGAAACTGCTAATACTGCATTACGGTACCTTGAGCTTCCTGCTGGCACTCAGTGTCTTCCTCATGTGTCTGGAACCCACACCCTAATCTACTTCAGAGCCACAGGCATGATATAATACCCATATACATACATATATACATTGTATATTGTATATGATGTATGATATGCACATATATATTGTATATCATTGTATAATATATGTATATATATTGTATATGATATATAATATGTGCATATATTGTATATCATTGTATAATATATGTATATATATTGTATATTGTATATGATATATAATATGTGCATATATATTGTATATCATTGTATAATATATATATTATATGCATAGCACTATCCTAATAGCAGCTGCTTTGCATCAGGCTACTCATGGCTCCTTCCCCTTGACCTTTATCTCCTTCTTCAGGCTAGAGGTCTAAATCACAGTATTAAACAATTGCTTAGAAAATGTATCCACATGGAAGGAAGCCCCTCTCGTAGCCTGTTTGCCTATAGCATGGCAAAGTTCTTCCATATCGAATGTGTCTCATTAATTTCTCTTTATATTTGAAGATGATGGTCGGCAATACATTTATTCTTAAACTGTATTTTTTATCACTTTTAATTATGTGGGAGGGTGTGTGTGTGTGTGTACATGTGAGTTCAGGTGCCTTTTAGAGGCTAGAGGTGTCCGATCTCATGCAGCTGGTGTTAGTAGTTGTTGGCCAGCTGATGTCAGTTCTGGGAATCGAACTAGGGAACTTTGGAAGAACAGTGTCTGCTCTTGACCACTGAGCCATCTCTCCATTCCTAGTACATACTTTATATTATGTCCTGCCTGCCATCTACACAGAACTCTTAGTAAAAGTCAAATGTATGTTGGTGCATAGTTTAAGCTGTGTATGACTGTCACAGACACCTCATTTCTTCTAAAGAAAATGGAAACATCTGAAATATGGAGTGAGCCAGAAATTTAAATTACTGATGTGTTAGTTCCCACCTACCTATAATCATAGTGTCAAATGTTAACCTTGAACACAGAGAGAGTTACACATGCTCAATGGTTGCATTTAAGAGCACAGACACTTAAGTCCTGGCCCTCGACGTATCACCAATGCACTCCAGATTCCTTATTTTTAAACTACACAGTGTTTGATAGTTTTCAGTTCTCCATATGCTTTCTAAGTGATCAATCTGACAGATGTGTATAAAGGATCAAGACAATCACAAATGCATTTTCCTTCTGATGATTACAATGATATTTCTAATTTTCACCTGGAAATCCACCTCCAGTCTGTATGATTGTGCCAAGTTAATGACACAAAAAACCATCAACATTCTTTGGAACAGCTAAGCCTTCTCTTGATTCTTCTTTGAAAGGCTGTTTTATCAAGAGTCCCCTAAGTCAGACATTTTCACCTCCTCACAAGCTCTCTCTCCTTACGTTTCCCTACAATCCATCATATAATCTACCCTGATGCTTAAATAATTCCATCTGCTTGTTTCTCTGCCTAGTGTGCTCTGGCTGTCTGTTCACTTCTCACACACAGGATCACTCTCACTCACTCTCGCAAGCCTTAGCTGCTCTCCCATGCACCCCATGAAACTTGTCACACTGTCAGCGGAGTCTCTTTAAAGTCACCACAGACATGCCCCTCCGCATGTTGCTTCCCAACCTCTCCACCATCTGCCCTGCCCGCCCAGCCTCATGTGGGTTTTTAACACAGACTTTGTCATGTTGAAGTATTGCAGGCTTCAAGGTCACAGAAAGCAGCCTGTCACCCATCATCCATCATAGCTGCTTAAAATACAAGGATGGAAATCTCCTATGGAAAGTCAACGAACTGTCAGAATCCATAAGATCTTTTAAGA